ATATACATGGAATGGTAAAGTTATATACATACAAAAAGTGAAAAATAACGAAAGTGAAAAATAACGATAAGTAAAAATAGAGAAAAATAGTATCATAATTATTACATTCCAGTCATCAAATCAAAATAGGACCCCCCAATAAAAGCTAGCATTGTCCTCAATGCTAAAAGCAAAAATAAGATCAAGAAGGGATGGAGAGTAGAAAAAACTTCCTATGTGGTTTACATCGGGTCCTGCACATCAATGGGGTCAGCTCCCTCTAGATTCTTTATTTATATCTCCAAGACATCAAATAGGGGTACCACAAATCCTCTCATAGGCTCTCTATCAGCCTCCTGCTATAGTGCATGTGCCTCCTGAGCTACTGGAACTTGCTCCTCCAAGAGTAAGTCCAGTAGGATGTCTACAGCTGATGTAATCTTCTCTACCTCCTTCCTCAACAACTTTACTGACTCCTTTGAGGCCCCAATCTTCTTTATCTTCTTCATTTGTTTGCCCAGGTCATTGATTGCTTTTCCCTGTGCATCTAAAGCCTTCAGGATAGTCTCTTGGTTGCCTAGGAGCTTCTTCTAGTTGTCCAGAAGCTTCTTCAATGAATCCTCCAGTGATGGAGGTACCTGAAGCTGTGCTAGAGATGCATGAGCTGTGACTGCACTGGATAAGGCAAAAAGCTTTGATGTAGCTACCTGCATCCAATTGTTGATACTGCATAAAGTCTGATTAACCCGCAGTGTAGTTACAGGGTAAGCTGAGGTGGACGGCATAGACAATGGTGCTGTGACAGAAGGGTCAGATAATGGAGGTGGCATAGCAGCAGAAGAACCTTTAGTTGTGGAAGGCTCGGAACTAGTGGCCACCAATATTGGCTCTTCAGATTGGCCAGCAGAGGTAGTGGCTTTGCCTTTGGACTTGGGGTTATCTACTCCCTGAAGGATGTACCAAGAGAAGGGTCTTTTTAGCTTCATCTTTGTGTCAAAACTCCTCCCTTCTACCTCTAGATCCTCCAAATACATGGTGAGGAAGTTGGGGTAGGGGTATGATCCTTCATCCTTCCCGACAGCTTTGGTGATGATTCTTGACATGAGATTTCCCACATTTATCAGGAACCCTGCCATAATAGAAGCCACAATGATCGCCTGGGAGACTGGATATCACTGTCATGTTGGGCTGGGTCTAGTCGGCTATAGACAAATGTATACCACCCTTTCGCTTCAAAGCTCAGAATATTTCTAGCTATATGGACCCCAGGTGTATGCCAAGCCAGTGTAGTCCCGAGAATGGCTATCACCTCTGCAAGCCATGGACGGGCTGCTTCATCTAACGCCACTTTCTCCAAGTACAAGGATTCATCTACATCATCAAACCCGACATATGCATTAAGCGTCTTGCCATCAAATCTGATCTTCCGATTCCACACCTTAGTCACATAGGTGCCTTTTTTGATGTGGGCCACATTGGCGTAGAATTCTTTGACTAAATATTCATTGGCCTCCGGCAGTTTGCTCGAAAAGAATTTCCACCCCACTATTTCATCAAATTGCCTCTTCACATTGGAATTTTAGGGTAGAAGATCCCTTTCTATGAATTGCCTCTCAAGGGTGAGCGACCTCTGCGGCCACCATTCCCGAAATTTATGATAGGCTTTTTCATCCCCCGAATATCAGCTAGAGTCTATCCAATTTCCTTTTTCCTTCTTTGGAGCACCGCAAGGGTAGTATCTACCTGCACGTTAGTTAAGAACGAAGAAAGAATAATAGGTAAAGTTGAACAAGAGCCCAAGAATTCATACCTGAGGTATGAAGGTAAAGGCATCAACTCCAATACGAGAGGTTTCTCGATTGGGGGCTTTGATGGTAGAGTCTTTCTGTTGTCAAGGTCCAAGGAAAGTTTCTGGGGCTCATATGTATAAGAAACCATTCCTTGCAAAGCATTGACATATTCTACCAAGCTTTCATCCTAAGTCAAATCATGGCTCAACAATATAACTTCTAAAGGGTCCTCCACATTTATCATGGCACTGGTGTCTTCAATAATCACCTCGGTCACAAGATCCACAAAGGAACATACTTCGTTGCTATTGGGGTTGCCTCATTGATTTGCAGACATGGAACACAACTTTTTCATCACCTACCTAGAAGGTGAGCTCCCCTGCTTCCACATCAACCAAAGCCTTCTTTGTATCTAGGAAAGGTCTCCCTAGTATGATCGTCACCTCATAGTCAACCTCACAGTCCAGAATCACAAAATTCGCGGAAAGTATAAACTTGTCGACCCGCACAAACACATTATCTATAGTACCCAATGACCTCTTCATTGTCCTATTTGCCATCTGTAACCTCATGGATGTGGGCCTTGGTTGCCCAATCCCTAATGTCTTAAACATAGAATATGACATCAAGTTAATGCTTGCCCATAAATCGCACAAAGCTTTGGCGAAATCGGCACTACCAATAGTGTAGGGGATTGTAAAAGCACCAAGGTCTTCTAACTTTGGGGCTATGGAATGTACAATGGCACTCACTTGGTGCGTCCTCTTGATTGTTTCACAATTCATGGATCTCTTCTTTGTTACCAAGTCTTTCATAAACTTGGCATATCCTGGCATTTGTTCTAAAGCTTCCACCAAAGGTACATTTATCGACAAACTCTTCATCATATCAATAAATTTCTTGAACTGGTTCTCATGGTTCTATTTTGCAAGCCTTTGAGGGTATGGTAGAGGAGGCCTTGGCAAATGAGCCTTGTCTTGGTCACTATCATTTATGCTATGTCTATCACATGTTCCCAAGACGGGTTCACATAATTTTGTGTTTCCTCCATGTTTTCATCTATGTCAATTCTCACTTCTTCATTCACAATATCATCACTCACTTGCACGTCATTACTTTGATCATCATTCTCTTGCACCAACACATCATCACTCACAACCTTTCTTGCATTAAGGGTATGATCAACACCACCTCTACCACTCCTTGTAGTCATCGCCATAGTGCGGCCCATATTGTTCCCTCCCTTCGGGTTTACTACCGTGTCACTAGGTAGTGCCCCCCTTAGGGCGAGTGTTCAAAGCTTGCAAAATCTGGCCAAGTAGGACCTCCAAGTTGCGGATAGAAGTATTATGGGACACCAATTGGGCATCAGAGTCGGTGTTTTTCTTTATCATTTGTTCAAACATTGACTCAATTCATCCCATCTCATTGTTAGATGAGCTAGGACCTTGGGACGGAAATGGAGACAAGTTGTTTGGTTGTTGAAACACCGGATGCCTTTGAAAGCCCGGCCCCTGATTACCTTGATTATCGTTATTACAACCCCCTTGGTTATTGTTGCCACCCTAATTGCTATTGTTATTTCCACCCCAGATGCCTTGGTTACTTTGGTTGCCCCAATTTTAGTTGTTGTTCCCCCAGTTGCTTTGGTTTTTGTTGTTTGCATTGTTCTAATTTCCTTGTTGATTTTGATTTCCCCAATTTCCTTGGAATCTCCACTATTATTATTGATTCGGAGCATTGCCCCGTTGTTCTTGGTAGTTGTTCACATACTGAACCTCTTCACTTTGATCATCATACCCTTCATCTTGGTTGTAACCACTACAACCTTGCTCATATTGATTTGGATTTCCTTGACTTTGTTGACCTCTTCGCCTCCTCTTGTTGACCATCATATTTAACCCTTCCATGACATTCACTTGTTTTGGACCTTATACTTGTTGCAATTGAGTTTTGCCCAACCGGTTCATGGTTGTAGTTAACTCACCTATTGCTTGGTCGTGGTCATGGAGCTCTTTGTGTAGGTGAAAGACATTGGGATCACCTTGTGGCACATTGGCTCGACTTTGCCACGCCGAGGAAGTATCAGCCATCTCATCAAGTATATCACACGCCTCAGCATAAGGATTGTTCATAAAGTTTCCCCCGACGCGTTGTTTAACTACACACTGGTTGGTAGTGTTGATGCCATGGTAGAATGTTTGTTGGATCATTGCTTTAGACTGTCATTGTTCTGGCATTCTTTCACCATCGTCTGATACCTTTCCCAGATCTCATGAAGTGGTTCATTTGGCACCTGTTTGAAGGCAAAGATCTCATCTCTCAGCGTTTCCATATGACCCGACGAGAAGAACTTTGCTATGAATTTCTCGGCCAACTCATCCCAAGTGGTGATGGAATGGTTGGGAAACCTTTCAAGCCAGTCCAAAGCCTTCCCCCTCAGAGAGAATGGGAAAAGCCTTAGTCTCAACGCGTTCTTATAAACATTTGTTTGCTTACTTACCCAACATGTATCAACAAAACCCTTAAGATGCTTGTAGGCATTTTAATGTGGAGTTTCGGTGAAGAAACCCCGTTGTTCCAAGAGTGTTAGCATCACGTTTGTTATTTGGAAGTTTCTCGCCCTAATACGGGGCAAGACTATTGCACTGGTGTATCCTTTGTTGGGCAACACCCGGTGTGCTGCCCTTGCTAGAGGTGGGGGATGGTTTGGAATATTATCATGAGGAGGGCGGCCTCTCCTTTGTGCTTGTAGTTCAGGTTGAATCTCATCCACATTATCATCGTCTACCTCCTCCCCCAAAGGTAAATTTCCGGGAGCATAATTGTTAAGAGCCATATTGTACCTAAGAGCAATTTCACAAACAAATTAGAAAATTAGAAGGAAAGAAAAATAAAACACACAAATACTTAGAGATATAGCTAACACCGTTTAACTCCCCGGCAACGATGCCAAAAATTGATCTGTTCCAAACCTGCACTACTATAGAGCAGCAAGGATGGTCGATGCAGTTTTACCCAACAAAGGTCGGGATCGAATCCACATGGAGTTAATTAGTTTGGAGTTAGGTTTATATCTGAGTAGAGATGTGGGGTTTTCCATTTATTGCACTTTCACAAATGGTTGGTTTTGTTCTCTTCTTCTAATTCTACTTCTATAGCATGCAATAGTTAAAGCTAAGTACAATATTTTTGTTGGTTGTTTTCAAGGATTAAAAGGAACTAGGGTAGTGACTTCCGCCTAGGTGGATATCTAGCGGGTGTCGAGAATTCAGGGAAAGCTTGTTTTGATTGGGGTCGTGATATAACCATCACACATAAGTGCCCACTCTATACCTCTCGATAGTTTGAGTGACTCTGCCCAATTTGGCTTTCTCAAGTCCAAATGTGTGTTCATGCATAACAAATGATATTGACCCAATTCGGGTATTACTATCTCTAGGTTTAACCCTTTAATTAGGGCTATAGAGCTCTTGAATGCGCCCCAATTCCTTGTTAACCTAATTTTCCTAGATTTAGTCCCTCTTTCTCAAGAAGAGTATAAGTCATAAATGCACGAATCAGTGTTTACAACCACCAATTCTACAATTAAACCATGAATCAGGCTAAATATCGCAAACCCATAAACAATTAAGCCCTAAAATTCAAGACCCATTAAATACCCACACTAGGGTTTGGTCACAACCCTAGCTATGGGTTTAGCTACTCATAATAACAGCAAAAATTAAAGATAAACATGAAATATAAGCCATAAGATTCAACTACAAGATGAAAATCTAAATTTTAAAGGTAACTCTTCTCTAAAATTACTCAAAACGGTAAAAACCAACCATTCACGTGCTTTCCTAAACAAAACTTAACCTAAAAATTTGAAAAAGATCTATTTATACTAGGCTGAAATTCACGGACAAAAATGCACCTGCGAAAGTTTCGCGGAGGCGTAATTCCTACCGCGTCCGCGCTTAAGCTCTCGCGGTCGTGCAATAACGAGCGCGGTCTGAGTTTCTTAAATTCTGGGCTTGGTTTTGCGGACAACGTAAAAGCCATGCCTCTTGTTAGCTTTAACTGTGGTCGTGTAATTAGGATGCAGACCGCGTTCTTCTATTAAGCTTGACTTGCAGTGTCTCTGAACTTCAATCACCGCTGTCGTGCCCCCTTTTTCTTGCAAAATCGGGTTTATGACATTTGGGAGGACAACTCATTCCTTTTGGGAATTGGGTTTGATTTGAAGAGTCGTCACCTAATGATTAAAGTGCATTAGGACACTAGTAGGGGTTTGTTTTGAGTAACCAGAAGGGCTTGAAATTATCCCAAGGGGAAGGTGTTAGGCACCCCTCGGGATCCACTAGTGTGGTTCTCGGCCAAACTTGTTGTGATTTAAGTGCAAATAACACATAGGCAAATGAAGGCTTCAAATAAGAGGGGATTTTCACGTAATGATTACAAATAAACAAAATTAAGAAGAAGAAACTAAAAGAGTTGATTTTCTTAAAAGAAATGGTTTTCCAAAATTAAAAAGAAACAAAGAAAATAAAGGAAAGGGGGGGTGAGGGGGTCCTAGGTTTATTGATAATAAGGATCACCCCATACAATATCTGGTAATCACTCCTCAGTGAGGGGCTACACGTGATGTTATCGCATGGTCATCATATCTATATCTACTCTTTCCCACCCCGTTAAGGTATTAAAGCGCAGAATGGTCTCGTTTACTTATTGCATGCTATTACCCGCCCCAATCCTATCAGTCCCGGAGGCACTTGAGACTACTAATCCTAAAGGTATGAGGTATTGGTCTTATTTGTGGTTTCAAAAGGTAAAATACTAAGGCGACAAACAAAACACATATAGCAAGTTTGGGGAAGCATATAAACAAAAAAAATGGCTCAAAAAGAACTCCTTTAAACCAAAGAAAGCACATAATGTAGCATGGCCTGCATGTACTATTTAGGGTCTGATTAAAGCTTAAAAGGTTGAGACAGACTGATTTATTACATAGTTAAGATAAGAAGCCCGAATCAAACCTGCCTGCTGGTTGTAGCACATAAAATCTGATTCAGTTTATAAGCTTTCACCTTATGGCTTGCCTAAGTGTTAGACGAAGACCCAATAGGCATGCTATCAACTAATTTCAGAAACAAGGATATGAGTTGATTACATACTGATTTAAGAAAAGTTGTCAATTATTAAAGGAGGGCGAGTTTTAGCAAAAGATCATAAGCTCTGCAACTGGTAATGCATTATTATTGCTTGCTTTAGACTTATAAGCGAGTGAGGTGTTTCAAATTTGATTAAAGCTCCTATAGGCATGCTTTCTATGCGTTTGTCGACTTTAGAACACTTTTATAGACATAGAGAAATGCATAAATCCTATAAACATGATATCTAGGTGTTATATTTTTATGGACATGATATCTATAAACATGTTTGCCTAATGAAAAGTGGATATGCAAGATTCAGAAAGACCTATAGGCATATTTTCTATATATGCATATGCAAAATTCAGATTTCGAGTAATTATAGACATGATATCTATATGAGAGTGCAGAAATTCAGAAAATTCTATATATGAGAATACAGGATACCAATAGACATGGTATCTATATGGAAGTGTAGAAATCAGAGATTCTTATAGACATGGTTATCTACATGGAAATGTAGAAATTCAGAAACTCCAATAGGCAGGTTATCTACCCCTTTTTGCATACATGGTTACCCCTCCCTTTTTCACTAGCCATCCCCACGAGTTTTCTTTACAAAGTTATTACAGCCCAGAAAAATAAAGTAAAGTAAAGAAAATGCATCAGAAATTAAAAAGTACAACCAAGGAGGGCCTGATTCAGACTTCCTATCTGAAATATGAAGTAAACCAACTCCAAAAGATCAT